CTGAGAAGTGATTGAGGGTGGGAACAAAACTGAGAGGCCCCAGCCCTTTCTCCCACGCTGGAAAGCAATGCCTCCACAGTGCAAGGGGTGGATTAGGGAAACCTTCATCCAGACGGAAATGGCAGCAGTTGCTTTGGGGAGAGCCTGGAAAAGGCAAAGAGGAGTATTTCCGAGATGTTAATCTACTGGAGGGTTCGAGGGAGGAGGCTGTTAGCCCTTCACATATGTGAAAAGAAAGATGCAGCTTCCCGTCCCCACAACCCTGACCGAGATGTCATGGGCAATGTGAGAGCAGAGAGTGGATTTCTTGTGCTGCTGAATTTTGGCTTAAAGGCAAAGTAATTGTCCCCAATGTCATATAGGCCCTATAAGGAAGAGCAGAGGGGCCAGCCCTCTGCTAAGGCCAAGGATGGGTTTGCAACCAACAGTGGGTAGTGCTGATTTATTCAAGGAGGAGAGAGAACATCCACTTTCCTTGGGAAGGATTTTCCATTTGACTTGTCTACAGGCTCCATTCAGCCCAAAGGCTGCCCTTGAACCCTGGGGTGGTTGCAAGGCTGAGGACTCCTCATGCTTTGCCCCCCTGGTTCTCCTCCCTGAAACAAGGCGCAGGGGGAGCATGGGCATGTCCTGCAGGTTTTGTCTCTGCTCAGAGTACCAGAAGGGCTGAATCCATCCTTAAACCACCAGATCATGCTGCATCTTTAAAAATGCTTTCGGAAGAGCATTTCTGAAGCAATCCCATTTTCCTTCTTTAAAAACTTTGACTTTAGTTTTAATCATCCCCAAACTCACAATCCTTTGTTTACACACAGGGGTATGAATGAATATATGCTTGCGTAGAGTTGTATGTGAGATGGGCTAAGAATGTAGGGAAAAGAGTCTGTGTGTCGGCTTTTTACAATTTTAGCATCCAGTCTAAAAAGAGAAATAGTTCTTTAGTACAAGCCCTATAACCACATGTCATTCAGAAAAGTTTAGCTAAGAATTAAACTAAACATCAAATCTGACTGAATGTGTAATGAATAAATAAAGCCTTTTCCTTTCATGTACCCGTGCCAAAATCAACAAGCTCTATTAGCTGATGAAACAATGCTGACGCCAAATAAAAATACCCCTGACCCATCAATATGGGCTAAGAGCTCGGCCCTGCATCAAAGAGCATTGTCTAAACAAGAAATACTCTCTTGACACCTCTGGGGGGAAAAAAAAAAAAAAAAAAAGGGCTCCCACCCCTTTGGGTGAGCTGAGCTCCCTGTGTGCCAGCCGGGTGCACAGAGCAATCGCCGGGGTGTCGAGAAGCAGCAAAACCCTTCTGCGATAGCCGCTGTCTCACACGCAGTGTGCTCCAGACATCTCTCCTTGCTTTAGCTAGAATGATTTGGAAACTCCTTGAGCTGCAAATCTATCTGCAGCAGGGACCAGGGCTTTGGCGTTTGCTTGCTCCCCGTCGCCCACCCTGTGTGCAAATTGCTCACAAAACCTGTGTAATTTTTTATCCTATGTGCAAAACACCGATGCTTGAAAGTGAAATTCTCAGAGGTCCCTGCTCTGTATCAAAGTAGTGCTTCAGTATCTCAGAATATCTCAATACCTGGGAGCACCCTGCCAGCTGTGCCACCCTCCTCCTCCCCGGGAGGGTGGGATGGCGAGGTAAAGCCGCGTCTCTCCTCAGCCCCACGCAGCCCGTGCAGCTCTGCCCTTCCCCAGCACGCCTGTCCTGCAAACCCCTCTCATTTGAAATCTGTACTTAGCTGCTCCGTGCTGTGCCCTGGATGTGATCTTTGAAGTCTCACCCTTCCCTCCACTTCCTTGGTTAAAAGATCTGTTCCCTCTTAGTTCTCAGTCATGCTTTTAGATTCATTCAGGCTTTTATTTACTTATCTGTCTTCCTGCTCCCACCACTCCCCCTGCCCTGCCAGAAGGGAAAGTACAATTCATTTTCCAGGTGACCCTGCCAGAAAGGCATTGACATGAATAGGAGAACGTTCAGTCACCGTAGAAAAAGCAAAACCTCCAACTTCAGTAAGTAGCAAAACGCTTCCTAACCAGAAGGGAGCAGCCAGATGTGCCTAGAATTGCTGTAAAACAGCAAAGACAATCCTCTAAGTAATTCCTGCAATCCCCCAGACGCCTCCTTTTGCAGAACTCTCTGTGAGTGCTGCTCGAAGTTGTTACAACCGTAGTGAGCGACCCTGCGGGCTGTGCGATGCCCCGCTACAGCATCGTAGGAAACACTCTCAGTCTGACAGGGTCCTGACTTTCACCAGGACTCTCCTCCTCCGCCTGCCCTGCAGCGATGCCCCGCGCCGGGACATGGTCCAGCTCCCTCTCGTCTGGCTGCCTTAAGCATGAGGCGAGGTTTGGGTGTCTTTAATTTTGATTTCAGTTGTCTGAGCAGGGCAGGCAGCCTGCTGAGCTGTGCTTAATTCTGATTAACATTAGTTTAACTGCACGGACAGTACCCTGCTGTTTTGAAAGACACCTAAGAAAGCAATATAGTCACCGTAAGAACTTCTCTGCTGGAAAGCCGGGCTCCTACGAGAACCCACCTGTTACATAAAAACAATTAAAACCTGAAGAGAAAGGATAACAGGACACTGAAAGGCATCTGAGCAGGCCAGCAGGCGAGGAGGTGTGCAGGGTTCGAGTGAGCCACTAACCCTCCCCTCTTGCAGCACAGGCCAGGGCTCAGAGGTTGTAACGATCGGTGGGCAGCGACATTGATTTTTGCCCGGCGCTTCCTTTGCGCCGGGGTAGCAAAACTCCGCTCGCATCCTCTGCGGGCTCCGCTCACCTCTCTCTGCATGTCAATAGGTGTCAAGTCACCACCCAGGACCGGGGATGGAAAGGCCGTTTCTTGCTGATTCCACTTTCTACTGACCATAAGGGGATGCTCCGCAGTAAATGGCCACGTGTCATTCTCTGTGACAGAGGCCGTGCAAATTTACCTTGGTGGCCTCCCGGCACACAGCACTCCAGTCCTTAGGCTGGACTAGAGCCCGGATCTCTCCCGCAGCCACCTCCTCCTCTCTGCACTAAGTGCTGGGTGGGCTCCTCGCTCACCTCAGCAGGGCTGCTCATCTGCTTCATTTTTAAAACTCTTTAATCCTCTGGAGAGGACAACACTGGTGTAAGATGTGGGAGAAAGGGCCAAGAATACAGTGACATTTCATAAACCTATCCCAAAAATCTGAAAAATTACTTGCAATATATTACTCCTGTTCTTAGCTTGATTCTTCATCAGGAAATTGCTTGGGGATGTGGCCGTGAGTGCTGGTTTCTGTTTTGGCAGATGAGAGCTGGGCCAGGCACGCACCCCGGGGTGAGGCAGGGACAGGAAGGCAAATCCATGTTTTGCATTTGTGTAACTCCCATTCACGGCTGTACACGGTGTTTGCAAGTGTTACAGCACATGGCAGGCGTACGCTACAAGGAAATACTGCTGGTGCCCAGAATAGAAAGATTTTAGCTCAGTATTGACTGAATCAAGAGATGTAGAGAGCTGATTGCAGTTTGTGCCTTTTGCTTCCTCGGAGGTCAGTAGACCTGAAGTGTGGAGCATCCTTAGCCAGAAAGGGTTTGTAAATAGCTGCAGTGAATGTAGTGGAAAGCAATCTGGTGTTCACCTTTTAATCCTTCTGCAGCCAGTCAGATACATGAAAATACAGACTGACCCATCGATAATTAAGTGTTTTAATTGCAACCTTTGACTTAATCTTTCTTTTCAAATGATCTTTTAAAAGGAAAAATCTGCTACTTATCTGGAATTAGTGAAAATGTCTTCCTTGGTACTAATGAGACCCCTTAGGCTGGAGGGAACTGGACAACTACTAGCAGTGTGTTCTGATGGTCATAAATGTTTGGCATCCCTTGTTATTAAAGCAGCATTTTTCTCTTGGATTTTCAAGAGATGTCCTGAGCTGGTTGGACCAAGGGTATTTTCTAGGTGTCTGTGCATTTTCTAGGTAGCAAACTGAGGCATGGGGTATAAAAGCCTGGGTAATGCTGGCAAGAGAAAATGGGACTCCCTCCACTGATTTAGAGGGAGAACTCCCCTTCTCATTACAGGCAATAGAAGAAAAATTTTTTTTTTTTTTTTTTTTTTTTTAAGAAGACACTCCTTGTCCAGTGCTTACCCCAGTGGAAACCCTGTCAGCATGGGCTGGCTTGGTCCCTGTGCCTTAAACATGTGCTTGGACCACTCCTGGAGGACGTTTGGGAGGGGATGTTACAGCCATATTGTTTTGCTCTTTGCTTTGACCCCTGAACTCTTTTTAACAATGTAAAGCCTTGTGAATTATAAATCAAATGTTCCTGCTGAGCTTTGTGGTGCATGGAATGAAATGCAATGATTAATATTTAAGAGAAAATAAGTTAAAGATTTTAACTACAAGGGCAAGTGTCTGTCCACAGAGTCTTTTCATGGGGAGGTTAGAAGAGAGGGCGGACGACATTTTCAGGGACTTCAGTGAAATTTGTGACTGCCAGACCAACTGCCTGAGCTGCGGGTGTGCGGGGGCCACCCTGGCCTCTGCCACCCTGCCCCTCGCTCTTATGCTGCGAGGATGCACCCACCTCTGATAAAACCCTGGTGCCGACACAGCCTTTTGGGATGGGACTGGTGAACGCACCCCGCGCGCTTTAGTGAGCGGAGGGACGCGCTCGGAGCAGCTCGGCTTGTGGGCTCGCCGGGGCAGAGCTTTCCCAAACCCCAGACGTTACCACCCCCGAGCAGGACATGCTCAGCACTCCCCCTGGCTCCTCCTCACCTTCCCCTCAGCGTGCCGGCACCCTCCCCGCTCTAGGGCTGACCTCTCCTCAGCACCGCACCGGGATGGGCAGGACACCACCTCCCCATTTTGGGAGCTCAAGGCAGGAGCCACCATCGCCACCCTGAACTGAAATGTCCCTTATAATGGCATCTCAGCAGGACAGCTGCCTCTGGCCACCTGCAAGGAGTCTGTCATAACACGTGAGATAAGGAGGGAGACACTTACATGGGTGCAGAACCTCTCCGGTGGGTCCCCACAAGTGATTCCTGCTGGATCCACCCGTACTGTCACATAATCCTTCATCCGCATGGCCTTGGGTTGACAAGCATAAAACTCCCATGACGGGCCATCGTCCGTGGTCACCCAGGACTTGCAAATGTCATACTGTCCCATGGCCAAGGGGAGACAGTGCAAGAGGAGAGCAACCAGGTAGAGCATGGCAGCTGCGGCCAAGTGCGGGACCCCTGGGCGAGGGCAGTGCCGAGAGTCCCGAGGAAGGCAGCTACTGGGCTAGGGGTTGCTCTCGGGATCAGCATGGAAACTCCTCATCTAAAAATGATCCACTCAAAGGAGATCCAGACGATAACAGCAGTGATCCCACTCTGCACGCTGTATTTGGATGTGGAAGGTTTCCCTTGGCACAGAAGCCAAATTTGCAAATCACTTGATTGGGAAAGTTTTGGCCGGAGTTGCTGATCAGTGGTCAAAAGTCTTCCTTAATCTCATTTTTCCCCCCCCCTTTTATTGTATTGAAAGGGCTTCCAAATCAGCATGAAAATATCTAGAGGTGACTCCAGTCAATCAATAGAAAGATCAAGTTCTGAGTCGCTGATGAAATTTGATAGGAGTAAATTGGAGAGGCCGTGAGATGGTGCTGGATCAGGTTTTCCTCAACTTTGTCTGCTGCAAATGCGTCGCTGTGAAAAGTGCCTTAAACTGTGGTCTGCCTTAAATAATTATTGGGGCTTTGGAACATTAACAGATAAAATAAATATAGCATCTGGTCATCAGTACAACTCTGACAAGAGAGACTCTTTGGAGCTGAAATTCCTTTCTCCCAGAGGATGGTTGTGTCAACGTAAGCACACCAGGTGGCAAGATCCGCAGTGGTCCCAGTAGGGTGCTGGGTGGTCAGTGGGTTGACAGGAGCAGCGCTGGCCCTGCCGCTTCCCCCTCTGTGTCCTGCAGCAGTGGCGATGCGCTCATGGGTGGGGACTTCTGTCTGGCTCTGCCTTTTGGCAGCTGAGCATCAAGTTCCCAAAGCTTTCAGCTGCAAGCCATGCTGCTACCGGAGGTCTCCTCTCTCTTTCATGGTCAGGGCAAAGGGAGAGTTCATTAGCAGGCTGCACCTGCAACAAATTGAAAGATAAATTAGCTGGTAGCAAGAGGGGGGGGGGGTGGTGCGGCTCAGCTGAAGCAACAAGACTTGTAAGAATAGGGGTCCCCCAGGAGAGACACAGCCCTCAGCTGGGCTTCCCAAGCCACAAGCCAGGGTTTTGTAAAAGGGAGATATACAACTTTAATAAAAAGAAATCCATAGTAAGATACTTATGGCTCTTCTGCTCTTTGGGAGACGGGAAGGAGTGCTGCCCCATTTAAGGTATCTGGTTTGTAACAGCAGCTGGACAACAAGCGCTCTAATGGGTCTTTAAATAATATCAAGAAGCAGCTATAGGTCATTAAAAGATGGAGAATATGCAGACACAGAGCAAGGACAGACAGACATATTGATAGTCTTAAAAAGATAAGCAAATAAATAAGACAGCTGGGGAGACAGATACATTGTCCAGCGTCCCCATATATGATTTATGTGAACAATAACATTTAATAAAAAACAATTTGAAGTCATAATAACATTTAAGGTTCACCTAATACAAAGAGCAATGACCTTCCCAGTATTCATTTCAGGTTAGAGCAACATTTCTGCAATTTTGTCATCTTTCCAGTAGAGCTATAAAAATCTTAAGTAATTACAAAAGAAAAAGACAAAGAACTGGATGGGAAAAAAAAAAAAAAAAAAAAAAAGTCAAACCCTCTCTCAACATTAGATCCAGAAGGGTGATCTTATATGAAGAGGTGGGAGGCACGTATCTAGAACAGAAATTTAGGTCTGGATAATTCCTTTTCTATTTGATTCTCCAACTTTTCTTCCACAATTTAGGGATGTCTGCTTCAACGGCATGTTTAGTATTTGCTTTCTCATAGAGCTCAGAAACTCCAGGTTAACAGAGGCATTGATCCATGTCCGGGGGCTTCACATCACTGTGCTACCATCTCCCCTTCCCCCCTTTTTGGTTGAAAGATTGCCGATTTAGATGAATGAGTTCAGAAAACAGACGCTATCTCTCATACTTCATCGCCAGCTCTCAAAGAAGAGCCTATTATAGCTGCGTTGGACCTGAATAAACTCCCAAAGAAAGAATAGACTGGCTGCTATTTTTACATTATGAGTAAATGTAGTAAAAATAATAAACTGGTGTGACACAGTGTTTATAAGTCCCGCTGACATCAGAGCTGTCTTTTCAGTTATAACAAGTCAGTTCCTAATTATTACATCAAACCGGTCACAGCCAAGTGCCTAATAACAGGAGAAAGCGTGAGACTCCTGTATTGTATGGAAAACAAGCAGGGTAGTTTTAATGAGGACTCCAGTGCTGTTAAGTTTATGGATCTATTTTCATAGCCTTAACAATTATATTTTGCACTTGAATGGCTGTCAGGGAAAAGCCCGGGAAGAAAGGATCTATAATATCTATTAGTGTCTTGTTATGCTGGCTAAATGTCACAGATTTGCAGGGAAATAAAAATGTGCCAGAAAATTTATTTACTGTCAGTCAATCAGCCAGGTGTGCAGGTTCCCTGCGAAGTCTGCGGTGCAACACTCAGCCCGTGCAGTCCCTTTGCAGAAATAGTTGCACAGTGTTGCTCTGAAATAAGGCAGCTTACAGCAAACAGGGGGGAGAGACTCTTGGAATTAAAGGGTTTGCCCTGCTTGATTTGGTTTGGTTCTTTGAAAATAAATCTTCACCTGATATTATTAAGAAACTGCAGTTCATGGGAACAAATAGAATCAATGCGCTTTGTTTTCTTTGAAGAGTCCTCGGCAATCTCTGGGGACTGATAGCCAGAGTATTAAAAACACAAAATTAGATTGTATCTTGATTTAGCCGGTTCCTTTTTTATTATTATTGGATTAACACCCTCTTGAAATAAAGGGACAGCACTGAGCAACAACTGAGAATTAAGACCAAAAAGTAAACTCAATGAAGGAGTTTTCAATTTTCTTTCAGAAGTCTTGCCTTCAGAATAAACCCCAACCACTCTTCCCCCGCCACCACTGATCCAGCGGGAGTTTTTCCTCTTCTCGCCGCTGATCACCCCCTCCCCTCCACCCCGAAAAGCGAAGTTCGGAGCCCCCCGCGCTGCCTGGGCTGTGCCAGGAGGCTGAACCCTCCGAATAGCGTCGCAAAGCTCAAAGGAGCACCGGGCTCCCGACGGAAAAATCCTCTAAATCTCACTTACATTCAGCCGCTCTCCCCAACGCATTTGCGGTTCCAGACAAACCGATGCCGCTCCCCCCCCACCCCCCCCGCTCCCGGTTTCTTTTACACTAAAGGACTTTTAGGGACTGCAAGGGCTGCGTGAAAAGTGGGTAAAGCGGCGGGGAGGCGGCCCCGGGCGGGAGCATCCCTGCTTCCCAGCCCTCTTCGGCAAACTCCGAACAGGAAAAAATAAAAATCCATCCCGTAGTGGGGAGCCGGTGCTGCTCCCGGAGCTGCGGGGGGGGAACGAAGACGGGACACGCACCCCAGGGGAACCTTGGAGCAACTTCGGGGAGGGGGGGGAAGACAGGACAGACGGTGGTTTTGGGGAGATGGGGGCAGTTGCCGGCACCGCGCGTCGCCCGCCGATCCGCAGACACCCCCACCCCCCACCCCCAAATTCCACCCCCCCCGGTGGCCGGTGCTCGGCGCTGCAGGTCCTTACCGGGAGGGAGCTCTGCGGCGCGGGGCTCCCGGCGGAGCCGTGAACTTCGGGGCCGGGGGGAACCCCCCCACATTCCCCCCCCCCCCCCCCCCCTCCAGTCCCTCCCTCCCTCCCCAGCCCGGCGGGCAGCCGCTGTGCCGCCGGCCCCCAAGGGCAGATGGCCGGGAAAGCTTTGTGCAATCCCCGGCTCCCCTCGCAAGTTAATGCCGAGGCTGAAATCCCTTTTGCTCTCACTTTCAATCACAATCGGAGCTTTTATCTCCGTGCCTGATCCCGGCTGCGTAACTTCCTCTGTGCAGCTTTAGCACACACCATCCCACCGGCGAGCAATGTGCTTCTTAAAGGTGCAGGGAGGAAATGCGGGCGGGGAGGGGGGGGGGGGGGGGGGGGGGAGGAGGAGGTGGAGGAGGGAGAAAAACCACCCGAGGAAGAGGAGGCTGCGAGCGGGCAGCCTTCAGCCCCGGGGGTACCGCGGCCCCGGGTGGGGTGGCTGCAGCATCCCCACCGTCCCGGCGCTGCCTCTGGTTAGATAACGACAGGCCGGAGTGCCACTCCTTAGTGTTTTTTTTCTTTTCTTTCTTGTTCTTTTTTTTCTTTTTTTTTTTTTTTTTCCTTTAAGGTTTTTTTTTTTTAAAAAAAAAAAAAAAAAAAAAGCACACACATACAAAATCATGAGATCATGTTTTCTCGAGGAAAAAAAAAGCTCTAGTCACGAGGGTTTCCCCACACGTGTAAGTTCTCGGTGGTGTGCCCTGAATATTTCGGGGAGGCTTCTGCTGGCGAAGATGCTGTAAATGAGGCTGCGTGCGTGTGTGTTGGGGGAAGAGGGGGTGGTTGGAATTAATAGGATAAACAAAGCAGGAACTCGGAGAAGGGGAAATCAGATGGCTGGGAAATGCTTTGATAAGGGTGGGAATGTGCTTTGGGATTTAACCAAACCAAGTTTTTCTTTGGTAAGGCAGGGGATTAACATGCAGGGCTGTAAGGTGTGAGAACAGCATGGGGATGAAGAACCTATAGGCGTTGCTTAGGTCAACTCCCCTGCATCCATGCTGAGGAGGCTCCAGCTTGGACAGGGTGGATAAAGCTGTGGCAGGTAAAGCTCAAAGTTTTCCCTGCACCAAGGAGGTGCTGGAGACAGGATCATTCCTAAGCAGCGACAGGTTTTTGACATGCACGTGGATAAATGACAGTCCATTTACGGGGAGGAAAACCAAAGAATCCCCGCTGCCCCCTATGTATGCGACCACCAAAAACTCACTGCTCCTTCCTAACCAAGAATTCAATAATTTCTAAGCCAGAGAGTATATTGTCCAACTTGCATGTAGTTTGCAATCTCATCGACTCAGTATTTTGTTATATGATTTCCTTTGGCCCATTGCTTTGAGGTCTCTATGCGGCTTCTCCCATCTAAGAGTCCCTGGAAAACGCACGATCCATCGTGTGACCAGGCAGAGGTGATTTAGAGCTCTTCTGGGAAACGTTTCCCGTATACTGGAGCATAAGTGAGATTTATTAAATGCTGGCATGTATCTTGACTGTGGCCCAGCCTAAATGCTACACTGCTGCACAGGGTGGTCTTAACCTGCAAGACTGTCTTTGATCCTGGCTCAGTCTCCACTCCTCTGGTCAGGGCACAGGCTGATACTTTCCACATGGTAATTTTTTCTGTAAACACTTATTTTATGGCAGCAGTATTACTTAAGTGAGAAGCACTGGCTGGGAATTCATGGCTGGCTAATATTCCTGGATTTCACTTTGTGCTTTTAGGTCTTCTCTGTAGTAATGACTCCCCTGGAAATTCCCCACGTCTCGCTTATTACTCCTTTATTAGTTATTATGGTACAGTAACAGGATAAAAAGGAGTTGGTATTTCATTTTCATTCCCTCTAATAGCCACGGCAAAGACCAAGTGGTGTGCTGATTATTGACATCAGAGTTAAGTGATACGCACGCATCGTTAGGTTTCAATTGGAAAGAATAACAGCACAGTATGAGTTGTCACACTTCTAAACTACATGGCATTTAAAGAAAAACCAAAGTCGTTTTTCTCAGCCCTGCAAGCTCAAAAGATCAGAAGCTAGCAATAACACTTGTGTAGACACAGGTAAAAGGCGCTAGCTTCAGGCAAATCACCAGAATTAACTAATCGGCGTAATACCCCGGAGAGGCTGGTAGCAGCTGTGCGGCTCGTCCAAGGTTACGCAGCGATTCAGGAGATCCAGGAACAGGCTTGGAGGGTGGGAAATCGTGCTGCTCCTGGGGTAAACAGCCGGGTCTGGCTCCGAGGGTCCTTGTGCTGGGATGGAGAGAGCTCATCCGTGGCACTCGGACACGGGAGCCCAAAGGAAGCGGCTGCAAAGCAGCCGGCGGTGCTGCTGTCACAGGCAGGAAGGAATGGGGAAGAGTTGCAGCAAATGTTTCATTTTAGACCATTTGCCTTCTTTTAGACAAGCACATTTTGCAAATGTTTAATGCTGGGTGTCGTTTCCTTCCGGGTGAAATTTCTGCGAGGAGCAAAATGGACACGCTTTTCCTTGAGGGGACAGCTCTGCCTCCTCCCATGCGCTGAGCACTGCCTTCTCACGCAAGGAGAGTGTGGTTGAAAATCAATGGGTCTGCACTGAGATTTAATTACTACAGCATAGGCAGGGGTGGAGAATAAGGCCCTTAATATTTAATACAGCCTCTGCTCCCAAAGGGATCCCTGGGGCTCAAGGGCCAAATGTAAACCCATTATAAGCAGGTGTAATTCTATTGACATATGCGGGCTCGCACCTGTTTGTACTATGGCTGTATTTGGCTTCCTAAATCTAAATGGCAAATGGTGCTTTTGACATACGCAGGAGAAGAGGAAAGTGTTTTCCTAACTTGGGATGATAGAGGATATTCTGAAACAACAGAAGGTAAACGTGACACCTCCCAGTCCCCGTTCGCAGTGGCGATGCGCTTGCTAACACTTGAGCTGAGCTGAGTCCGTGGAGAGAGATCCAAGATTACTGCCAGAATAATAACCAGGCTTATAAAGGATCTTTCATTTGAGGATACATATTGCTGTATCACCTATAATAGCAATACGTTCTTTTTATAGTCCTTATCTAGCAATGTGCGGCCAAGGATGTCAAAGTGCCTACTGCAAGTGAGTAAGCATTTTATTAGGTGGAAACACAAGGCTCATAATTGTGCTCCGAACCCAGGAGCAGGCGAGAGACCCCTTTGCAAGGGAGGGTCTCAGGTAATATTTGACAAGCACAGCTCAGCCCAACCCCTTGTTCCAGCGGTGACTTTCTCCAGCTCGCCAGGATCTCCAGGGAGAAGTTTGGAAAGAAAAGGGGAGGAAATTACTAAAGGTGCTTTTGTTTTAGGGATGATGGGGGGGAAGGCTCCTTGAACCTTGTGCTTAGCAGGAAGGATTTGTCTCATCTCACCACCCTTGTACTGTCCTTTTGTTCTTAGCAAGCTGAACGTGAAGAAAGCTTCCAGCTTGATCAGAATGGGAAGGCTTGTGCTTCCCAGTTCCTTGTGCATGATGCAAAGTCACTGAGTTTTAAAAGGAAGAGAGACATAATATTTTGTGGCTAGGAGAAATGCTGGAAAACCCACACAAAGCCTGAGAAACTGAGCAACAGACAGCTTTGGTACACGCAGTCCAGGAGGGTGGGTGGGGGATATTTATTTTTTTGCCCTCCCCGCACGCCACTGCTCTAGCGTCGGGGCCAGGCTCCCAGGCGCTATGGGTCCCCTGCTCTTAGGCAGACACATACATACCCCAGTGAGCAGGAGAGAAAAGAGCCGAATGCTTCAGTCCCTGGAGTACTCTACATTTTTTTCCTTTGTGAAAGCTACTGGGGAGATGGCAGAGAGCATCTGCTCGGGGAGGGGCGGCTTCCCCCGGCTCCCTGGCTCACACTCTCCCGCACACAACCTCAGATGCATTTTCTGCAGCTCAGAGGGTTTTACAGGGCCCTTGGTGAATTTTGCCCTCCCTGATTAGATAATCAAAGGAGCAGTGACTGTACTCTCTAGAGAGAAGATGCTGTCTCTTTCCTGCCAGGAGGACAGCTGGAGGGAGGGTGGGATTTTCAGCGTGCAAGCACTTAGCCAGATCAAGGAAATGGGATGCAATGCATTTTAGGCTAAGAAAGGTTGTTTTGCAGGGAAACATGAGGCTGCTGTTCTGTTAGGGAGATAACGCTTCGCCAAACTGCAAGCCTTAACTACGGAAGGTCATTGCCTCTTTAAGGAAAACAAGCATGACAAGTCAGAAAAAAAGCCCATCACTGTCTTTGCTGAAAAACTTTGATCATTTAAATATTATTGATGCACATTAACCCCAGCAAAGACTGGCTGGGTGATGGGAAGTGCTTCACCTTGACACAGGGAAAATATGTTGCTTTCTGTTGCCTTGTCTTTTGCCTTGTCTTTTGTTTCATATATCAAATCAGAGCTTAGCCAAGTGAATCAGCTCAGGAAGCATTTAAGATTTATTTGATTTTGGGGAAGGTAGAGCTTTCCTTATCTTTACTAGCTGTGGGGGAGTAAGTATGGATAAAAACAGGAGAAGCGTTTAAAGGAGGGATCTATAATTAACAATCCCTCAGAAGGGGAACTTTCCTTTTAACTTACTATTGAAATGGAAGTGTTTGAGAGTGTACGGTTTTGGCTCTGGGGATCTCCTCCGTATCCTTGACAGAGCCCTGCGAATTCCTCTAATCCCTGCCTCAGAGCACATCTGTGCTTTAAAAACAGCTCCTTCCACCCCACGGAAGTCTCCCCTCAACCCATGGATTGATTCCCACGGGAAGCCCCAGCGTTGCCCCCCCGGCCTGGCTCGGGGCGGGTGGCGATGGGGACAGCAGCTCCCCTCCCAGCACAGGGCTGTGTTTCCTCGGCAGCCCCGAGCCTCACACTGAGAGGAGACGCCTTCCACAAACGCTTTTTAACCTGAGGAAGGAACGTGTCACTTCTAATGGAGCTGACAGCAGCAGGGAGGGTTTTTAGGTTAGTGGTTGAAGAACACACTTGTAATGAGTGAAGTAATTGAATAAATGCTGACAATTTGATGTGGAAAATGCATAATCAGCT